CCTTCTGCACATCCCATACTGGGGATCGAGCCAGCAACCTGGGCATGTGCCCCAACCAGAAATCAAACCATGACCTCCTGATTTATAGGTTAAAGCTCAACCACAGAGCCATGCCAGCTAGGCATAAGAAAGCCTGATGGGCAACTGCTATTGATTACTTCAAGGATCTTATGGTCCCTGATTGGGGAGGGATGGAAAGATCTGAGAGGCCATGTCGTTGCTGGATGAGAAGGGGATTAGAGGAAGGGAAAGGGTTTGTCAGTAGCACCTACTTGGGAGAGGGACCAGGTAGGGCTTCAGAATTGATCAGAGGTTGGCTTGAGACTGGTGGGGATGCCAGAAGTAGACTATTTGTTTTTGGATGTTACTGATCATAATGGGATATTTAAAAAACGATTTACTATGTGCTAAGCACCTTGCATGCATATCTCATGTAACCCTCATAACAACCCTGTGAACTATTACTGTTCCTGTTCTACAGATAAAGAAACTGATGCTCAGAGAGGTTAAGTAGTGAGTAAGTTGGTAAGTAGTGGTACCAGGTTTGTCTGCTGTGCTCTGTAACCACCTATGGTTATGGTTCCTGCTGGCTTCACCAGCTACACAACTACATCACCATACATGTGCTCTGCACACTGCAAAGCAACAGAGTTTACTGCATAGAGGTGTGGGAAGCATGTGCTTGTAGCTCCCCAAATGCATATGCCAAATCCTTGGCTGTTGCTGCCCAGGAGGTCTAGGCCCCAGACCCCCTGACTTGCTTACAAAGGCCCTTGGAAGAAAAGTGGGATCTCCAAATTTGGTACAAAAATCAAATGCTACATAAAGGGAGCTCTGGCCTGACCCAGTTGGGTCAAGAACCAGTTGTATGAACTTAGTTAATCTACTTCTCTTTCTGGATCTCAGTAAATTTAGGAGGTTAGACTTAGATGGGCTCTAGGGTTCCTTCCAGCATGAAATTTCTATGACATATGCTTTTAAAAATGAAGTAAATGCTGGGTGAGATTTAAAAACAAACAAACAGAATTTATGCATTTTAATAAGAATTTACTTTAATATAATAATAATAATAATAATAACAATAGCCACCCAGTCTGTGGTACTTTGTTACAGAAGTCCTGGGGTGGGGAAGGAAATAACACTATAATACCCTTTTATTAATAAGAATTTACTTTAATATAATAATAATAATAATAACAATAGCCACCCAGTCTGTGGTACTTTGTTACAGAAGTCCTGGGGTGGGGAAGGAAATAACACTATAATAACTCCCTTTTATTGATTTAGTGTACTATGCAATAGGCACTGTGCTTAGAGCAATCCATTAATATTCTCACTAGTCCTTATAAAAGTCCTCATGAGGCAGTATTATTCCCATTCCACTGGGAACAGAGGCTCAGAGAGAATGAACAATCTGTGTATAGTAGGGATTATAGGCAGCCCTGATCAATTCCAGAGCCCACATCCATCGCCTATACTACACTGCCCATTGTTCCACCAACACCCTTGTCACTCAGCACAGTCCAGGAGCAGCTCTTTGGAAACCTCTTTCAGAGCCTGTACATTCCATTTTATTAAATACACATTTTTTTTCACATCTACTCCATTCGGAACACTGCAGAGTATGTACATACAGTCCTACCTTCCAAAGGCTCCCAAACTAGTGGGGGATATGGAGGCAGAGGAGGGTTATTCTGCCATCAGGGAGATGGGGCTAAGTGTTACAACAGAGGCACCAAAGACGATAGGGGTTTAAGCAAGTGAGAAATTATTTCAAAATTCTCCAGATTATGCTCAGTGGTGGTGAATATCCATCCTTAGAAGTTGGATATAATTTTGGCTCACAGACAAGTCAATCAGAGCCAAGTCTGGGGAATAAAGTGGGTCATCCGGCTAGGCAATACCATTTTTGGTCACAAGCTAGGTGTGGCTATAAAATAGTGAGATGGATTTTCCTGTGTGACCCAGACTAGCTCTGAAGGCAATTCCTAAAGGGCAGCTTTTCCAGCAGTGATACCATCTCCAGATTAAAGGCAGAGCCACCCAAAGCGATTGCAAAAGACAGAGCTTCCCGGAGCACCACACTTGACCACACAGAGGCAACGGCCTGCAGTTATCCATGGTGCGGTGTTGGCCAGCAGGCCCAGATGAGCTTGCTGCTGCGGTGCCCCCAGCACCTGGCACATTACTTGGGATAGGGGGAGGTTCAATCAACCTTTTATTTACTGACTAAACAAGAGATCATTTTGGAGGTAAAAATTCTGGATGTGCTTTTTAAAATTGTGGTGTTATTTGGTCACATTTAGACATCTGTATATTGACTGGGGATACATTCCAGCTGAGCCCAGTCTCTCTTACCTGGATGGTAAGCCTGGCCATGACTGGCCAAGACTATTTCCCATCCTGTTCCTATTTGTGGCTGTTCTTACATTCAGTGAGTGAGCACAAGGCACTAATGATGCCCACATGCAGGATCTGCTTGGGGCTTGTAGCCAAATAGGTCAACTGGTTCCTTACTGAGTGCCAGGTAACACTGGGGGGCACTTCTACAACCCCATCAGGTGAGCAGCCAAACTGGCCTCCTACCAGATCTAAGTCTGGGGAACCTGGGCTGCCCCAGGGACCATCCCCCATCCATGGCCAAATTCCATACATTCCAAAATATGGGTTGACATCTCTGAAATCCATGGGTTCCCCCAATCAACTGTGAGCCTGAGAATCAATCTCAGGATAGAAACCAGAGAGGTTTCGCCTGTCTACTGTGGTCATCAATTTTCTCTTCCTCCTCCTTGGGTTTATTCCTGATGTCTATTTGTTTGTGGTTGGCTTACTAATTATCCACATAAACAAGCTAATCTGAGGTGGACCGAGGCCTCTCTGCCAGGTGGATTCCCACAACTAAAGGCATTCTTTTGAGTCTAATGTGAACCTTGGGCCTGCCTGTCCACCACTAGTGAGGGAAGGGGGTGGTCTCTCAAGCTGTGAGACCTTGTCTGGCTATTTAATCTTTCGGAGCCTCACTTTCCTCATCTCTAAATAAAGGTAATAACAGCATCCCCAAATGCAAAGTTGTTAAATGAGCAAACACATATGAAGGACTCAGAACAGTGCCGGGTTCAGAGTGGGTCTTGACTAGATATCAGTTGGTGTTGCTGTTTCCGACCCGTTGGGAGTGGGGAAGGAGCCAGATGCTGGACCCAGCTGAGAGGAGGAAGAGTATTCCTTTATGACTGCATTTATTTACTATGTCATTTTGCACAAATGATTTCTGCCCTGTGTAATGCCGCAGAGGGATCCGGTGTGGTTTCTATATTAAAGTACATAAAATCAAACACCACCACCATCCAGCTCTAGGAAGGATTTAGACACCCAAGTTGTCTGAGGGAAGCCACTATTGCTGACCACTGCATTTAGCTCTCAGCTTCTGGGCCAATGGAGTAATAAGAGAAACACACTGAGGGGGTATCACAGATGTCATCCAAGCAGACAAAAATGTAAGGGATCAAGCCGAGAGACAAACTTTTCCCTGGCTCCAAATTTCAAGAGGAATTTATACGCTGGGATATAGGGCACTGGGGAACATGAAGGACAATGCCTTCCCGGAAACTTGCCTAAAAGACACAGAGAGGTCTTTCCAAGGGTCCAAACTTATAAGGCCCCTCCATAAAAGCCAAGGGCTCACATTAAACAATGAGTTCAAGAGAGGCTTTATGGTTTCTCAGAACAGCAGCACTGGAAGGGCCTGTCGTCTAGCCCTTGGTTTTGTAGAAGTAGAAAGAGCGGCCAGGGAGCTGAAAGGACAGCTGGCCCTGGACCCAGACTCAGAGCCGGGGGTCCAGTGCTTTTCCCTCACCCTGAACTCTCACCCTCTCCCTCATTTCTTCCACCAACAAAAAGAAGCTTCCCTCGGTCCCTCTTGGGAAATGGCAGCCTCTTTCACACTGTGGGAATCCCTTTTCTTTAAGTTTGGTTAAAAATAAATTTGAAAATGTTTAAGTCTGGGGTGGAGTGCTTCCAGGTAGCTTCAGGAGTCTGCAGCACAAAGCCGCTCTCAGCTCTAAACGGTCAGGTATGTCTGCTGATTGTCAGATGCACACCCCCCTCCAGGTCCAGTTTTAAAAGGGTTTTAGCAGCTGCCATCCTTAAAAGCTTTCTAAGCGCCCCATGGTGTGCTAAGTGCTCTAAGTGATGGTCTCATGTGATCCTTCCAACAACACTATGAGGAAGGTGCTATTATTAAACCAGGATTTGAACCATAATAGTTGACTCTAGAGACCAAGGTCTTAACTACAGACTCCCAGTTACCTTTACAGAAAGGGAATCTTTGTGAGGTAGGAACTTGTGTCCAGCCCCATTTAAGCAAGGTATTTTCTAAGGCCAACAATTGGCAAATGTCATACAAACTGTAGTTGGTTATTCCTGAAGTTCTAGGAGACTTTCTGGAAAGGTGGTCCTAATTGTGGCATTCTGAGGACATCAAAACAAGGCCCTCAAAGTACATCCATGCACCACACTTAACAGGAAAAAGCAATTCTAGCCAATCACAGGAAGCTGGGGTTTGCTCTTATTTGCTCTTATAAGGGGTGGTTAGGTGCACAGGCTGCACAGTTCCCAGGCCTGGGCCTGGTTTCTTACACTGTCACGTGCTCAATTGTCATTCTGGGCAAGTGGCTGAACTTCTTTAGGCCCCAGTTTCATCTTCTGTAAAAGGAGATAATAAGAACAGTGCCTCTATAAAGCTCTGGCATCACATGAGATAACAGCAGTAAAGTTGTTTAGAAAAATGTCAGGCACATATTTATGGGCTCGATAAAAATTAGTCAATGACTGCAGATACATGTTTTAAGGCAGATATCAGAATACAGATCAATGGTTGAAATCAGTAACACGAGAGTCCATAATATGAATTAGATGTTGCTAAACATTTGAAGCAGTTTCCCATTTCCTGCATAATCATGATTTTAATTTACCTAATATGCACTTTCCAATTCACAAAGAAATTATGGTGTCATATATTCTGGTTCATCAAAGCTCTTAGCAGCACCATTTATTAGCAATATACAATATCTATTCTTCAGATTCTTGACCAAGAATATATCCTCAAATTCTCTGCTGTTACTTCTTACCAGGACCTTGGGTTGAAAAAAAAGTAATACTCATAAGAAATTATAAAAAGTATGTTAGTCTATGTATTCCTCTTAATATTTAAAATTATAGTCTTTGTCAAGTCAAAGCCTTGATTTTAGAAAGCCACATAACTAAAATATCAATATTTTTACTTCACATAAAACTGCTTTTAATAAATTTGTTCCAATGTTTTGCCATTAGCTTCTCAATAATGTTCCGTAGTTTTTAGTGTATAAGTCTTACACCTCTTTTGTTAAATTTATTTCTAAATATTTTAATCTTTTTGATGATGTTATAAATGGAATTGTTTTCTTGATTTCATTTTGGAATTGTTCATTGCTAGTGTAAAGAAATACAATTGATTTCTTAAATGTTAATTTTGTATCCGGCCATTGGCTTTTATTGATGCACTAGAGGCCCGATGCAGGAAATTCGCGCAAGGATCTCGGCCCTTGCAGCCCCGGCTGCCGCCTCAGCCCTCGCAGCAGCCCCGCCCCCGCCCACTAGTTGTTCCGGAAGGTCATCCTGGAAGGTTGTTCCGGAAGATCATTCTGCCATCTGGTCTAATTAGCATATTAGCTCTTTGTTATATAGGACGGTACAAATATATTCATATATTCAAAGACTACACTATGAACACTTGTTATGTGTCAGGCACTGTGCTGGGCTATGGTATATAATGAGGACTAAAATAGATATGGTGCCTGCTCCATCAAGGAGCTTGGGGTTGAGTAGTGGAACTGGGTCCAGGTGAGGTACACTTCCCCATTACCTAGAACATGCTGGGAAGCACTGTCCACATTATCACCCAGGGTCCCTGCATGAGGGCTATGGCAGAAGTTCTTTTCTGTCTGAGAATTAGGAAACACTGTGTAACCCCTTAGCAACAATTCTATTTTGATGCCATGTCCACTGTGAATTGTGTAGCTGGACAGGTTTTCTTTACTTCAGTTGCTAGGAAGCTTAAAGCTATGTTGTGGCCAAACTCAGTAAATGACACTAAGTCAAGATTTTTTTTTTTTGCCATATTTATTTTCTCTTTGCCCTGATTTCCCAAATTGGTATTTTATCTTGTTTTGGATAGAGCTTCAGAAGTTGCCTCAGATCTTTTATGGATAGAGGCTGGGAAGGAAGAAAGGAAGGAAGGAAGGAAAGAAGGAAGGAAGGGAGGAAATTTCAGTTTCTTGTTAATATTCCTGAGAATGCTAACTTACTATGAAGGTCTACTCTTTATTTCTGAAGTTCCATCAAGATGTGATTTTATTACCTGAGTGAATGCTTATACCATCTGGAATAAGAACTACTTCATACTTAAAGGTTCTTTAATCTGCTTTTGGCAGGTCTAACTAAACAAAGTCTATTAGTTTTGTTCAGACACACTGGAAGTGCTTTTCTGGCATGACTTCAATAAAATTCTCTTCCCTTATTAGACATAGAGGATCTGGGCAAGAGCAGGCAAGGAAGGAGATATCTTTACCCAAGTTACTTGCAACCAAGAAGCAGTATAAGCAATTCCACTTTGAAGTCACTCAAACCTGGGTTTGAATCCTGACTTTATTATTTACTTACTAGCTGTGTGATTCTGGAAAGGTTACTTATCTTCCCCAAGTTTCAGTTACCTCATCTATAAAGTTAACATCTATATTATTGATTACTAGTGTAATCAAATTAAATGAGATTTAGCATAGGGTGGAGGACACATCTATTTAATACTGTACTGGAATTACTAGGCAGTATAATAAGGTAAGAAAAACCAACAACAATTATAAAGATAACAAAGGAAGAAATATACCAACTATATGTGGCAGCTTGATAAAAAGAAATTTTATTTCTACCTAATTGAAAAAATAAATTTCAGATGAATTAAAATTCAAAATGTAAAACAAAAATATCTAAAATATTTTTAGGAGAATATCTTTACAATCATGGGATAGGGAAGGATTTCTTAATCAAAGTATAAAATGCAGAAATCATAAAATAAAATGTTAATTTGATAGCATTAAATCCGAAACTTCTATGCAATATATGATAATATAAACAAAGACAAAAGATAAGTTATGGGCTAGAAGGAGGCATTTGCAACATATATAACCGGCAAAGGAGTAATACAGCTATACAGGGAACTTTACAAACCAATAAGAAAAAGACAAACAACCAAACAGATAAATGACAAAAGATATAAAGAAGCAATTCACAGAAGCAGCCAAGTAGCCAGTAAACTTGAAAAATGTTCAACCTTACAAGTAATCAGGGAAATATAAATGAAATTAAGAGTGAGATAATGTTTTCCATTCATAAGGCCAGCCAAAATGTCATTTCCCCCCCTGCATTTATAGACGTTCCAATAACTGACCTCTGACACTTGTTCACATAGTGGTTATCTCTGAAGAAGAATGAAAGATTGGGGAAAGGAACCCACAATGGTCTCTGCAATATTTTATTTCTTTAAAAAAGTATGAGGTGCCTGACTGGTTTGGCTCAGTGGATAGAGCATCGGCCTGCGGACTCAAGGGTCCCGGGTTCGATTCCAGTCAAGGGCATGTATCTTGGTTGTGGGCACATGCCCAGTTGGGAGTGTGCAGGAGGCAGCTGATCGATGTTTCTCTCTCATCAATGTTTCTAACTCTCTATCCCTCTCCCTTCCTCTCTGTAAAAAAATCAAGAAATATATATTTTTTAAAAAGTATGAAGCAAACACGACAAATGTTGACACTTGCAATTCTGGGCAATAGTTACATGGCTAATTGCCATAAACTTCTCTATGCTTTCCCATATGCTTGAAATATCCACAATAAATAAACACAAGCAAACTGTGTTTAAACAACCTGTTGATACTGAGGAGGAATAACAGAATAGAAAAATGCTCAAGTCAGACAGCTTTTGGAGGGGCTTACTGGATCCAGAATGGGAAACAGGAGGCTCCAAAGAGGGATAGGATAAAGTCCAGCAGATGGGGCAGTGGAAAGGACAGGTGAGTGATGTGAAGAAAGATGCACATTTTAGAGAAAACATTGGGTCAGAAAATAAAGTCTAAAAGCAAAGGAACTATTTCTCTGGAAATCTAGAAGTAAAGGTCTTGCTTGTCCACTCAGTTACACAAACTTGACTGCACTGGAACATTTTACCTGATTTCTGGCCTAATACCACGTCCAGTCTTATGACAGAAACAGTTGTAAAGGAATTACAACTCATGGCTGATCTTGTTTAGGGAAAAGGGTGTGGTGATCTGGGAAGGCTTCCCTGAGCACATGAACTGAAGTTAACCACAGATACAAAGAGGTTAGTAGGTAGAAAAGTATGTCTCTGGTAGAGGAACCAGCATGTACAAAGGCCTCAAGGCATAAAGGAGTCCAAGCCTGTGAGGTGTTAGTACAGAATGTAGAAACCTCCATGACTGGTTCTGGGGAACTGTGAGGAAAGACACTGAAATGAGGGATCAAGGGGAGTATACCTATGTCTTCTTTAAAGACCAAAGAACCAGAAAAAACTCATCCAGGGTGAAGGACCATTTGTAAAAAGTTGAAAGACAGCCAAAAGCAACAATAAAAGCTGGGCAGGAAAAGAAAAAATAGTAGTACTTAACTGGTCTGTATACAGTTCATACCCTGATGCTCCCTTTCACTGAAGTACAATCAATTATAAACTTGGAACTTTAAGATAAGTCAGTAGGTATTCCGGTCAAGATGATGGAGTAGGTAGAAGCTGTACTCATCTCCTCCCACGATCACATCAAAATTACAACTAAATTATAAACCAATCAACCTGGATAACCATCTGAAGACTAGATGAATGTAAGTCCTATAACTAAGGATATCCTAAAGAAGAAGCAATGTCAAGATTGGTGGGAGGGGTGGAGATGTGAAACAAACTGGCCCTGCACCCACATTTGACAGTTGAGAATCTGGAGGAACAGCTCAACTGCAGAGGTCCCCTCTAAGGAGTGAGGGGTCTTACCCCCATATTGGGCTCCCAAGCCCAGAACACCAGTGCTAGGAAGAGGAGCCCACATAACATCTGCCTGTGAAAATCAGTGGGGAATTCCATCTGAAACAGAAGGCTGCTGGAAATTCAGTCTTGCCCTTAAAGGGCCAGCACACAAACTCTGGCTCGCAGGCACTCACCTTGGGCTCTGGCAGAGAAACGATGGCTCAGCAGGCACCAGAGACTGAGTTGTGTGGCTTCAGGACAAGAGATTGAGGGACAGCTGCCATTGTCCCTGTGTGGAGCCGTCCTGTGGCCCGCCTGTTGGCGCCATCTTTCCTGTGTTGATCCCTCCCACTACATGGCCAAATCTTAATCTGCATTTGCCTGAGGAACTCCACTATCTCCACCCTGATTACCTCCTGAGACTCCGCCCTACCCAACTCATGCACAGCCTGAGGCTTTCCTGAGGCCAACCAGTCTGGGCCCATGGTGCCGTCTTTCTTGAAATACTCTCAAGAAATTCTAGTAAAGACTGAGAAGTGTCAGACACACAGGGAGAAACTGAATTGTGTGGCTTCAAGGCAAGGTTCTGGAGAGACAGCCACCATCTTTCCTGTGTTGAGCCATTCCCACGACCAAATATTAATCTTCATTAGCCTGGCGAACTCCACCAGCTCCACAATGATCACTCTCTGAGACCCCTACCCCACCACAAAGGTCTGCAGACCCCAGGTGGGGGGGCGGCTTGCCTTGGTGTACACTGAGACTTTTGCTGAGTGGCCTCAGGCCCAGCACGGGCACCAAGTCTGAATCTGTATTAACCTGGTGAGCACCACTTGACCCACCCTGGTGACTCCCTGAGACCCTGCTTCACACAACTCCTATACCATGCAAGGCTCTTTCAGCAGCTGAGCTTTATGAACAGCGATCAGGCAGCGGCAGGTCTCAGGTACCTTGGCCTTTTGCTGACCTGCCCCAGGCCTGGTACTGGTGGCAGCCAGTACTGGTGGCAGCCAGTTCACAATGTGGCCCCTCCCTCATGCATTCAGGCCCAACACAGAGAGTCACCAACCACAGATCACTTTGTAGCTCCTAACAGGTAGCCCTGGGGTGGTCACAAGCAGTGCCTGATATTTGACCTGCACCAAAGTCCTTCCCTAGAGGCCCCAGAACCAGCACACCAAGTGGTGGGTTTTAGACTTGGAGCTCCACAAGCAACACACCCAAAGGAAGATCTCAGCAGGCAACAGATCCCATTGGAGTGAATTCAACTACATAGAGTCAGGTGCCCTCTCCCAGTAGCTCATACATTGTGGCTGTGGCCAATCCTCATAGCCAGCCAGCCTGAGGGTCAATCCCACTCACTGACATGCCAATAGCAATCAAGGCTCAACTATAACATAAGGCACACATAACCCACACAAGGGATACTCCTGGAGCACCTGGCTCAGGTGATCAGGGAGACTGTGCTACTGGGCCCCACAGGATACCTATTACATAAGGCCACACTGCCAAGGCTGGGAGATGTAGCAGACCTACCTAATACATAGAAACAAACACAGAGTGGCAGCCAAAATGAGGAGACAAAGAAACATTTGTCCCAAATGAAATAATAGGAGAAACTTCCAAAAATGAACTAAGTGAAATGGAGTCATGGAATATACCACATAGAGAGTTCAAAACACTGGTTATAAGGATGCTCAAGGAAATTAAAGGAAGAATACATGAAGTCACTGAGAACTTCAACAAAGAGATAGTAAGCACACAAAAAAGGACATAGAAACCATAAAAAAAAAGTCAGAAATAAAGAATACAATAACTGAAATGAAGAATACACTAGAAGGAATCAATGGCAGATTAGATAAAGAAGAGGACTGAATCAGTAATTTGAAAGACAAGGTAGCAGAAAACACCCAATCAGAACAGCAAGAAGAAAAAAAAAGAATTAAAAAACTAGGATAGTTTAAGGGACTCTGGGACAACATCAAGTGTAACAACATCTGCATCGTAGGGATACCAGAAGGAGAAGAGAGAGAACAAGAAATTGAGAACCTATTTGACACCACAGGAATACAAAGGATTATAAGAAAATACTACAAACAATTATATGCTAACAAATTGAACAGTCTAGAAGAAATGGATAAATTGATAAAAATATACAATCTTCCAAGACTTACTCAGGAAGAAACAAAAAATCTGAACAGACTGATTACTACCAAAGAAAATGAATCAGTAATCAAAAAAATCTAAACAAACAAAAGTCTTGGACTGGATGGCTTCGCAAGTGGATTTTAGCAAACATTCAAAGAAGAATTAATACCTATCCTTCTCAAACTATTCCAAAAAATTCAAAAGGAAGGCTCCCAAGCTCACTTTACAAAGCTAACATTATCCTGATTCCAAAACTACAAAAAGACATTACTATATATATGCCAATGTCTCTCATGTACATAGATGCAAAAATCCTCAACAAAATATTAGTAAACCAAATTCAGCAATACATTAAAAAGATCACACACCATGATCAAATGGGATTCATTCCTGGATGCAAAGCTGGTGCAATACTCACAAATCAATTAATGTGATACACCATATAAACAAAAAAAGAATAAAATTATATAATAATATAAGTAAATGCAGAAAAAAAATTGACACAATCAGGCATCCATTTATAAAAACTCTCAGCAAAATGGGAAGAGAGGGAACATACCTCAACATAATAAAGGCCATGTATGACAAACCCACAGCTAACATCATACTCAATGGGTGAAAGTTAAAAGTGTTTTCCTTAAGATCAGGAAAAAGACAAGGTTGTTCACTTTCACCAATTTTATTCAACATACTATTAGAAGTCCTAGCCACAACAATCAGACAAGAAACAGAAAGAAAAACATGGAAATTGGAAAGGAAGAAGTAAAACTCATTATTTACAGATGATAGTATATTATATAGAGAGAGCACTAAAGATTCCACCAAAAAACTACTAGACTGATAAATTAATTCAGCAAAGTAGTAGGATTCAAAATTAATAATAAAAAAACAGTTGCTTTTTTAAACACCAACAATGAACTCTAAGACAGAGAAATTAAGAAAACAATCTCACTTACAACTGCATCAGAAAAATAAAATACCTAGGAATAAAGTTAACCAAAGAGGTAAAAGACCTGTACTTGTAAAATTATATGTCACTGAAGAAACTAAAGAAGATACAAATAAATGAAAGCATATACCATGCTCATAGATAGGAAGAATTAACATTGTTAAAATGTCCATACTATCCAAAGTAATCTATAGGTTCAACACAGCCCTGTCAAAATACCAATGGTATTTTTCACAGAACTAGAACAAATAATCCTAACATTTATACTGAACCCAAATAGGCACAGCAATCTTCAGAGAAAAGAACAAAGTTGGAGATATCATGCTAGCTGATATCAAATTCTACTACAAGGCCATAGTAATCACAACAGCATAGTAATCACAATTGGCATAAAAACAGATACATATATCAATGGTGCAGAATAGACAGCCCAGAAATAAACCCATGCCTATCTATTCAATAAATGTGATGGGAAAATTGAACAGATACATGCAAAAAAAAAAAAAGAAAAGAAACTAGACAACCTTCTTACACCATATTAAAAAATAAACTCAAATGGATTAAAGACTTAAATGTAAGACCCAAAACCATAAAACTCCTAGAAGAAAACATAGGTAGTAAACTCCCTGACGTTGCTCTTAGTAATATTTTTTTTCCTGATATATCTCCTTGGGCAAGGGAAACAAAAGAAAAACAAACAAATGGGACTATATCAAACTAAAATTGTTTGCACAACAAAGGAAACCATCAACAAAACAAAAAGACAGCATACAGAATGGGGAACATATTTGCCAATGATATATCCAATAAGTTGTTAATATCCAAAAATTATAAAGAACTCATACAACTCAACACCCCCCAAAACAAACAAACAATCCAATTAAAAAATGGGCATAGGACTTGTATAGACACTTCTCCAAAGAGGACATACAGATAGATGGCCAACAGACATAAAAAAAAGATGCTCAATGTCACTAATTAGAGAAATGTACATTAAAAACACAATGAGCTATCATTTCACATCTGTCTGAATGGTTATCATCAATAAATCAACAAACAAGTGTTGGCAAGGATGTGGAGGAACGGGGGACCCTAGTGCACTGTTGGTAGAATGGCAAATAGATGTAGCCATTATGGAAAACAGTATGGAAGTTCTTCAAAAAATTAAAAATAAACTATCCGCCAAGACCGGTTTGGCTCAGTGGATAGAGCGTCGGCCTGTGGACTGAAAGGTCCCAGGTTCGATTCCGGTCAAGGGCATGTGCCTTGGTTGCGGGCACATCCCCAGTGGGAGGTGTGCAGGAGGCAGCTGGTCGATGTTTCTCTCTCATCGGTGTTTCTGACTCTCTGTCCCTCTCCCTTCCTCTCTGTAAAAAATCAATAAAATATGTTTAAAAAATAAATAAATAAACTATCCTATGACCCAGCAATTCTACTTTTGGGTGTATATCTGAAGAAATCCAAAACATTAAAAAAGATATATGCTCTGCTATTTCCACTGCAGCATTATTTACAATAGCCAAGATACGGAAGCAACCCAAATGCTCATCAATAGATGAGTGGATAAAGAAGTGGTGGTATATATATATGAAATATTACTTGGCCATAAAAAAGAATTAAATCTTACTATTTGCAACTACATGGGGAGACCTAGAGGGTATTATATTAAGTGAAATAAGTCAGACAGAGAAAGAGAAATACCATGATTCATAACAGTAGCAAAATTACAGTTATGAAGTAGCAACAAAAATAATTTTATGGTTGGGGGTCACCACAACCTGAGGAACTGTATTAAAGGGTCGCGGCATTAGGAAGGTTGAGAACCACTGAATTCTAGAAGGTAGTATGCTAAGTGAAGTAAGTCACTGACAGAGTAAGATAAATACCATATGATTTCACTTATATGTGGAAGCTAAAGAACAAAATAAACAAACAAACAACAGAAACAGACTCATAGATTCAGAGAATAAATTGAGGGTTACCTGAATGAGAGGTGGGTTGGGGAGCTGGGTGAAAAAGGTGAAGGGACTAAGAAGTACAAATTGGTAGTTACAAAATGGTCATGGGGTAAACTATTCATAGGGAATATAGTCAATAGTATTGCAATAACTATGTGTAGTGCCAGGTAGGTACTTGAACCATCAGGGGGATGACTAAGTAAATTATATCACTGTCTAACCACTATTAGTACACCTAAAACTAATCAATATATATAAAAAGCCCGTGGCCCTAATGCCGTGACAACCAAATACTGGCGCAGG